TGATTGGGGGACCATTACTCTTGGGTTTTGTGATTCAAGTTAGATTTTTGTTCACTACATCTAAAACTCTTCTGTTTATACAGATCAAGTAAGAATTTGGTGGGCTGCTGTTATGGACTGAAGTGTGTTTCCTCAAAATTCATGTGTTGAAGCCCTAACACCCAATGTGACTATATTTGGAGACAAGGCCTTTAATGAAGTAATTAAGGTCAAATGAAACCATAGGGTGAGGCCCCAATCCAATATTATCAGTGTCCTTATAAGAAGAGGAAGAGACACTAAAGATACATACACACAAAAGGCCATGTGCCAACATAGTGAGATGGCAGCCATCTTCAAGCCAAGGAGAGAGGCTGCAGGTAAAAGCAACTCTGCTGATACCTTGATCTTGGACTTCTAGCCTCTGGAATTGTGAGAAAATAAATATCTGTTAAGTCATCCAATCTGTGGTATTTTGTTATGGTAGCCCTAGCTAAATAGTATATCTTCCTATCTACTTCACTTCTAGGAACATTGTGATCAACTAGCCAATATAGGTCTCCATGAATCAGACTATTCTGATTGCTGCTTCGTCTGCTGTCCATTATGGTAACCACACCGACCTTGCCTTTGGCTATTGAGTGCCTGCCACTTGGCCCCTGCCACCCCAGGGTCTAATTACTCCTATTGCATTTTGATTTCCCAGCTCAGTGGCAACAATTTCCACTGTTAAGTCCTGGCCTACAGATAAGAGTCATGGTAGCTTCTCAAAGATACTGGGGCTCCCTTCACAAATTTATTTCCCACAGTTGTGATGAAAGGTGTGTCCTCTAAACCTTCCCAGGTGGATGAGTAGATATTAAATGACAAATCCACTCCATATTCCAAACTCATTAAGCTTTTGAATCCTTCCCTCTACAGTATACCTAGGCAGATCTAATATTTCAGGTTAATTTACTGTGGGCAACCTTTTGGTCCATGTTTCAGCCAAATAACCAAAGTGCTAGAGCCCTCTTTTAACTACACGAGCTACAATATTGAATACAGAATCACTGCTTAGTGGGCCCATATCAATGTATTTGGCTTGATTCAACTTTATGTTTCTTCCACCATCACCCACACTCTTAATATCCATTCCCACACATATTCCCCAGATTTGTCTGTATAAATTAGAAAAATCAAGTAGTTCTTTGGAGTGTAGCACACCTCCTCATGGATCACACTTTGTGTCTCACCTGTAGGGTCTGCTGGGACTTGAGTCTAGTTATAGGCCTAGAAAGGACCTGTGGAGGTGGAGATCCTGAGGATAAATGGCACTGTTTTGCAAAGCAAATACCTCAAGGGAGGCTATTACAGTTTTCCCCAGAGAAATGCAGGCTTAATCTCCTCACAGGGGTAGAGAGGTTGTTTCTACTGGCAAGGAAGACATCAGAATCTAGGGGTTCAAAATCCCTAGCTTCATCAAGGTTTTCCTATATACCTCCATTCCAGTTTTCACCCGCACTTTGACAGTTAACATTCTGCAAGTTTGGGAATTCAATTTTCATTGCAACTCAGTCACTCCGAGAATGAGTTTCTGGGTTTGGTTTTCAAAGAAGTCAGCTCTGTGGCTACAGGAAATCCCTTCAGCACAGATGGAGAAGCTTTTAGGTCATTTATGTGACACTTGAGTTGGGAATTTGAATTCCGGAGCTCATTCATTTATTCCCCACTTTGTCCATGGACATCACATAGCCAACTCATTGTGTTCATTAGTTTGACAAAAACGTTCTGAAGTTTTATGTACATGGTCACCCACAAACTTGCCCCTTATTAGTGTTTGATTAGTAATATCCAATGGTGGTATTTTGTGTATCTCTATTGCCATATCATGTCATGGACTATCAGTGTTCTCTTTACTACTGGCAGTAGACACATTAGTAACTTTAAATCTAATCAGACTAGAGAACCAATTCCAGAAAAACCAGAACCAATTTAGAAAATTCATTCTTAAGATTCTCCTGCTCTAGAACCTCTCTTAGTACCAAAATCTGTATTAGTCAGGATTCTTGAAAGACACAGAAACAATGGAATGTGTGTGTGTGTGTGTGTGTGTGTGTGTGTGTGTGTGTGTGTGTATAGAAAGAGAGAGAGAGACATTTTGAGGAATTGGTTCATAATATTGTGGAGGATGGTAAGCCCAAAGTTTGCAGGCTAGGCCACCATGCTAGAGATTTAGAGAAGAGTTGATGTTGCAGTTCAAGTCCAAAGAAAGTCTGCTGACAAAACCTTCTCTTCCTTGGGGGAGGTCAGTTTTTTCCAAGTAAGATCTTCAAATGATTGGACGAGAATCACCCACATTATGGGGCATAATCTGTCTTACTGAAATTTTATTTATTTATTTATTTATTTATTTATTTATTTATTTATTTATGCTTTCACATTTTATTGGCTACAGGGGAGGGGGTGAAATTCTACTAATTGAAATGGTAATATCACCTAGAAATACCTCAGAAACACCTAGGAAAATGTTTGACAAAATAACTGGGTACCATAGCATAGCCAAGTTGACACATAAAGTTAACCACCAGAGTTCCCTAAATATGGCAGAAAAGCACAGCCACAAAAGAAGGAGAGGAAGAGGAAGAAGAAGGGGAAGGAGAAGGGGGAGGAGGAGGAG